ATAATTGTGGCACGTAAGGGTTTGATTGGCAGACCTGAGAGTCAGGTTCTGTTTGTGTCCGGGCTCAGTCCGGGCCCAGCTGTCCGGCCTGGTGCCCCGTTCTGAAGACAAACTGGGTCCTGATGCTGATTCATGAGAGAAGAGCCAAACTGAAGCTGCAGGATCTGACTGAAGGAACAGATCTGCTTCATAAATGATCTGAAGTCTAGAAATGATTTTATCTCCATTGTCMTTGCGTGTAAAAATACGTGACTTTTACGCACAGAAATGACGCTCCTGTTCGTTTAAATCTGACTGATTTGGAGTCATTTTGTGCTGCATGGCTCCTCTTCCAGAACTCACGTCTTCATTGGGCTGGCATTGGACCGAACCGTTTGTGGATCTCCATCTGCTACCTTCTGATTGGGTGGGAGGTTACAGACAGACCRCCCCCGGAAGGAGAAAAAAAAACTTTTCCAGAAGTGAGTTTCAATCAGGGAGAAGTTCGGGGGTCAGAAAGACAGAGGGAGGAGAAGGACCGGACTCGAACTCGAGCACAGGATGGCTCAGTCCGCTTTCAGAACCTTCCAGCGGTGCTTTTAGTCTCCGAGTGGATTAATTTGGACTCTTGGTGAGTTTGCGCCCTGCTGTAAACTCTGACGTGTACAGTTTCTCCTCCTCTGCTCTCCCGGTTTGTTTTGTTGTTTCTGCTTCACTGCTTTGGACGGACGGACTGGATCTTTTTTTTCTCCCCGGGTGGATCTCAGAGAGATGAGTGAGAGGAGGCGATCGGCCGCAGCTCTGAGCTCTAGAGCCCACGCGTTTTCCGTGGAAGCCCTGATCGGCTCCAACAAGAAGAGGAAGCTCCGGGGCTGGGAGGACAAGGAGCTGGAGCTGTCCATGGAGAGTCTGGCCGCGGACGGAGAAGATCCGGCTCACTGTCTGGACATGGACCCGGGTCAGTCCGCGCGCAAACACGCACACCAACACAGCCTGAAAACGGTCCGGAGATCCGGATCTGCGTTAGATCTGAACCAGAACCCTGTTCTCCTAAAAGCATCCGTTAAATCCTTGGCTGAAGTTATTTTTAACAGCTGTTTTGCTTTCTGTCAGGAACACAGCTTTATTAAAGCGGCCAAGTAGGTTTTTGTCCATTTSAAGTCCGGATCAGTGGATCATCCAACAAACATCAGCAGAACAACCGGTTTAATTCTGCGCTAAAATGGAAAGTTTTAATTAAATCTGCTAAATTTGGTTTCACCCTGAGGAATGAAAAGACCTCGAGCTGCTGTTTAAATATGACCCCAAAAAACCGTTACCTGAACGCAWTTTTTCTCTTAGAAATATTGTTTGTTTTGATATTTTCTGCTGCGTAAAACCTATCCACGGATTCTGACAAATTACGGCGCAGATCTCAGAGCAGAACACCAGGTGTTTGTCAGACAGGAGAGTTTGTCAGGTGGAAATAAAATGTGAGTAAAATTCAAAGAAAACAAGTCATCATGTTGAGAGATTAATTAGTCTCATTAAATATTTGACCAAAACACGAACAGAGAAAACGGGACGGGAAACGCGCTGTGCGTAAAGGAAGAAAACAGCATAAATA